CCTGGACATGTACTGGCTTAAGCAGGGGGACACGTCTGGCAATGCAGGATTTGAGTCCCTGGCGGCGTAGTGTGTTACTGATGGTAGGCTTTGTTACTTTGGTCCCAGCTCTCTGCAGGTCATTCACTAGGTCCCCCCGTGTGGTTCTGGGATTTTTGCTCACCGTTCTTGTGATCATTTTGACCCTACGGGGTGAGATCTTGCGTGGAGCCCCAGATCGAGGGAGATTATCAGTGGTCTTGTATGTCTTCCATTTCCTAATAATTGCTCCCACAGTTGATTTCTTCAAACCAAGCTGCTTACCTATTGCAGATTCAGTCTTCCCAGCCTGGTGCAGGTCTACAATTTTGTTTCTGGTGTCCTTTGACAGCTCTTTGGTCTTGGCCATAGTGGAGTTTGGAGTGTGACTGTTTGAGGTTGTGGACAGGTGTCTTTTATACTGATAACAAGTTCAAACAGGTGCCATTAATACAGGTAACGAGTGGAGGAGAGAGGAGCCTCTTAAAGAAGAAGTTACTGGTCTGTGAGAGCCAGAAATCTTGCTTGTTTGTAGGTGACCAAATACCTATTTTCCACCATAATTTGCAAATAAATTCATTAAAAATCCTACAATGTGATTTTCTGGAATTTTTTTTCCTCAATTTGTGTGTCATAGTTGACGTGTACCTATGATGAAAATTACAGGCCTCTCTCATCTTTTTAAGTGGGAGAACTTGCACAAATGGTGGCTGACTAAATACTTTTTTTCCCCACTGTATATAGGCCTATGCATAAGCTCGAATATGCATATGGGTGTCTTGAATAAATCATCACCTTAGAAAGTGCTATCCATTTCATTGTGTTGAAACAACATACACAATGTCCATATTTTCCATATTTTTTTCTTCAAATCAATCACAGTTAGGTGAGTTTTAAAAGCATGATACTGTTTTGATTATGTGTTGATGTGTTAGAGGGACAATAGAGCCCTGAGTACCAGGCCATTAGCGAGTTTGGTACTACCAACGCATGTCCAGAGTGCATAAGAGGAGATTACCATGACTCAACGGTCACATACTACTTACTAATTGAATTTAGAATGTTCGTATGCTTAGAAAAAGTGTGATTTATCAAACAGTCCAGAGATTGAATACAACCGAAAGGTTTTATTTGACTCGCTCAGTTGTGGTTTGACCAGTCAAAATTAAAACATGGCTACAAAGAGAGGACAATTCAAGTTGCTTTAGCAATGTCAAATATACTTCAAATGAGTAGGCAACACTCACCAATAAGCCATCCATCCTCAACAGCTCCCTCCTGTAGGCGTATAGGCCAACATTGCTGTTCTGCAGAATGAACGAGTCATGCGTTTCACCTGGCAACCTTGCCACCACATTCAGTAGTGTTTTTTTGCGCATTACATCATCACCTGCACATTTAATAGTGGAAGCCTTTTCTGTTATCATTGCCTAGTTGAACTCATTTTTGGATGGTGCTTTTATGGCGATGTGGGTGCCGTCTATTGCTAAAAAAATATATTTGGGAACCCACTGATGGCAAAGAAACCCCTCTTAACCTGTTGTACAATGGTGTATGGAAATTGTATGTTACAGCTCGCTTTGCTGATGATTGCATCCAAAACATTGGCTCATCGAGGGATGTGAGATGCCGATCGGCAAGCTCCCGCTGAAAAGTGCCCATACCCGAGGGTGGATAGCACTTTGATGTGCACCGGAATGGCATGTGTTTGCCTTTCTAAAGTAGATCTTAAATCCTCGCAAAGATCCTATAACATTGGTTTTGGGAAACAATATCTGATGAGCCAATCTGTACTTTCTGCAAAAAGTCACACCGGTCTCAAAACAGAGCAAGATCAGCCACAGCCTTATTCTAAAATGGATTAAATAAAAAAACAAATCCTCAGAAATCTACACACAATACCCCATAATGACAAAGCGAAAATAGGTTTTTAGAAATGTTTGCAAAAGTATTAAAAATAAAAAAACTGAAATTCCTTATTTACATAAGTATTCAGACCCTTTGCTATGAGACTCGAAATTGAGCTCAGGTGCATCCTGTTTCCATTGATCATCCTTGAGATGTTTCTACAACTTGATTGGAGTCCACCTGTGGTAAACTCAATTGATTGGACATGATTTGGAAAGGCACACGCCTGTCTACAGTTGAAGTCGGAAGTTTACATACACTTAGGTTGGAGTCATTAAAACTTGTTTTTCAACTGCTCAGGAAGGATACGCGTTCTGTCTTCTAGAGATGAACGTACTTTGGTGCGAAAAGTGCAAATCAATCCCAGAACAACAGCAAAGGACCTTGTGAAGATGCTGGAGGAAACAGGTACAAAAGTATCTATATCCACAGTAAAACAAGTCTTATATCGACAACCTGAAAGGCCGCTCAGCAAGGAAGAAAACACTGCTCCAAAACCGCCATAAAAAAGCCAGACTACGGTTTGCAACTGCACATGGGGACAAAGATCGTACTTTTTGGAGAAATGTCCTCTGGTCTGATGAAACAAAAATAGAACTGTTTGGCCATAATGACCATCGTTATGTTTGGAGGAAAAAGGGGGATGCTTGCAAGCCGAAGAACACCATCCCAACCGTGAAGCACGGGGGTGGCAGCATCTTGCTGTGGGGGTGCTTTGCTGCAGGATGGACTGGTGAACTTCACAAAATAGATGGCATCATGAGGAAAGAAAATTATGTGGATATATTGAAGCAACATCTCAAGACATCAGTCAGGAAGTTAAAGCTTGGTCGCAAATGGGTCTTCCAAATGGACAATGACCCCAAGCATACTTCCAAAGTTGTGGCAAAATGGCTTAAGGACAACAAAGTCAAGGTATTGGAGTGGCCATCACAAAGCCCTGACCTCAATCCTATAGAAAATGTGTGGGCAGAACTGAAAAAGCGTGTGCGAGCAAGGAGGCCTACAAACCTGACTCAGTTACACCAGCTCTGTCAGGAGGAATGGGCCAACATTCACCCAACTTATTGTGGGAAGCTTGTGGAAGGCTACCCAAAACGTTTGACCCAAGTTAAACAATGTAGCAATGCTACCAAATACTAATTGAGTGTATGTAAACTTCTGACCCACTGGGAATGTGATGAAAGAAATAAAAGCTGAAATAAATCATTCTCTCTACTATTATTCTGACATTTCACATTCTTAAAATAAAATGGTGATCCTAACTGACCTAAGACAGGGAATTTTTACTAGGATTAAATGTCAGGAATTGTGAAAAACTGAGTTTAAATGTATTTGGCTAAGGTGTATGTAAACTTCCTTCTTCAACTGTATATAAGGTCCCACAGTTGACAGTGCATGTCAGAGCAAAGACCAAGCCATGAGGTCGACGGAATTGTCCGTAGAGCTCCGAGACAGGATTGTGTCGAGGCACAGATCTGGGGAAGGGTACCAAAACATTTCTGCAGCATTGAAGGTCCCCAAGAACACAGTGGCCTCCATCATTCTTAAGTGGAAGAAGTTTGGAACCACCAAGACTCTTCCTAGAGCTGGCCGCCTGGCCAAACCGAGCAATCGGGGGAGAAGGGCCTTGGTCAGGGAGGTGACCAAGAACCAAATGGTCACTCTGACAGAGCTCCAGAGTTCCTCTGTGGTGATGGGAGAACCTTCCAGAAGGACAACCATCTCTACAGCACTCCACCAATCAGGCCTTTATGGTAGAGTGGCCAGACGGAAGCCACTCCTCAGTAAAAGGCACATGACAGCCCGCTTAGAGTTTGCCAAAAGGCACCTAAAAACTCTCAGACCATGAGAAACAAGATTCTCTGGTCTGATGAAACCAAGAATGAACCCTTTGGCCTGAATGCCAAGTGTCACGTCTGGAGGAAATCTGGCACCATCCCTACGGTGAAGCATGGTGGTGGCAGCATTATGCTGTGGGGATGTTTTTCAGCGGCAGGGACTGAGAGACTAGTCAGGATCGAGGGAAAGATGAACAGAGCAAAGTACAGAGAGATCCTTAATGAAAACCTGCTCCAGAGCGCTCAGGACCTCAGACTGGGGTGAAGTTTCACCTTCCAACAGGACAACGACCCTAAGCACACAGCCAAGACAACGCAGGAGTGGCTTCGGGACAAGTCTCTGAATGTCCTTGAGTGGCCCAGCCAGAACCCAATCGAACATCTCTGGAGAGACCTGAAAATAGCTGTGCACCGACGCTCCCCAGCCAACCTAACAGAGCCAGGTTTTCCTCTAGGATTTTGCCTGTGCTTAGCTCCATTACGTTTCTTTTTTATCCTGAGAAACTCCCCAGTCCTTAAAGATTATAAGCATACCCATAACATGATGCATGTAAGCAAGGTTTGAAATTATTATGTTTTAGTCAAACATATGTTTGGGCTTCTTGCAGTTAATTTGCAGTCTACAAATGATTTATAATTATGTTCTGGCCTGCGGCTGACTCTAGTTTATGATCCACTGTGAAATATATTTTCCATAACTAAAAATGTTGTATTTTGAGCTGTTTGAAGCTGGTGTACAAAATCGAAAGTAAAAGACGCAAAAACTAAACATAAGAACGGGAAGCATAGAAATTGTGCACATAAAACAGATCTACCGCTTCTTAGACTTGCTTTCAATGAGAATTACAGATCTATAACACACATTTCTATGTGAATTTGGTCGGGTCGCCCAAAAAGTTACATTATTGCAGCTTTAAGCAAATGTTTACTCCTGAACTTATTTAGGCTTGCCATAACAAAGGGGTTGATTACTTATTGACTCTTAAGACATTCCAGATTTTCATTTTAAATTAATTTGTTACAAATTTGAAAAATATAATTCCGCTTTGACGTTATGGGGTATTGTGTGTAGGCCAGTGACAAAAAAATATATTTTAAATTCAGGCTGTAACACAACAAAATGTGGAAAAAGTCAAGGGGTGTGAATACTTTCTGAAGGCACTGTAAGGTTGTATTGAGTGACTGTTGAAGATGGAGCTGTATGTTTGTGAGCCTGCCTTCATAATAACACAGACTGTTAACTGTGTTAACAGTCAACACAGAGTGGGTTTGTGTTTGCAGGCGGTGATATACAGCAGAATTAACTGCAGGGTGGTGGCTATGGACCTCAGGGCCCATGGTGAGTGGCTAACTCTCCCTCATGATAACACACATTCCATCTGGTTACCTCATATTCATGGTCTCAATAGTATTATTATTTATTTATTTACTATTTTCTGTCCCACAAAGGTGACACCAAAGTAAAGAATTCTGACGATCTCTCAGCGGAAACAATGGCCAAGTAAGTTGCCAGGTCAGGAATGTTTTCTCTGTAATCTGTCACACTCAGAGATGAGTGTTACGCAGGGTGAGTGATGGGGAAGATTTTGTGTTGTTGAGATGGGAGGGAACCGGACACGACCGGAGGCAGTGGTGGAGGTGTACTGTAGCGGGGTGGAGAGAACCTGCTGGAGAGAGAGGAGGACTGAGTCAGTTGAGCTATCAGCTGCTGTACTGTAGGGGGGTGGAGAGAACCTGCTGGAGAGAGAGGAGGACTGAGTCAGATGAGCTATCAGCTGCTGTACTGTAGGGGGGTGGAGAGAACCTGCTGGAGAGAGAGGAGGACTGAGTCAGATGAGCTATCGGCTGCTGCCTCCCATTGAGACACTGATCTGCTGTTTGATGCAAGGAGAGAAAACAGGCTTGCTGCAACCCCAGAATAGTCTTGTTTACATTTAACAAAGTGCCAGTGGGAAGAAACTGATATCTCTTTCCATCTCTGCTCTGGAAACTTAGGGATAGAGATTTCTATATTGTCTATCTTCTGTTGGGTGTGATTGTTTGAGGAGCTGGATTAGGCTGGTTTGTATGGGTGAGATTGTTCCAGCAGTTGATTTATGCTGGTTTTGTCTCCTCTCTCCACCAGGGACATTGGCAAAGTGGTGGAAGCACTCTATGGAGAAAACCCACCTCCGATCATGATGATTGGACACAGCATGGGTGGAGCTATAGCAGTTCATACCGCTGCAGCAAACCACGTGCCGTCGTTACTTGGTCTGTGTGTGATTGATGTCGTGGAAGGTGATTATGGTATTTGTGTTTGTCTCATGATCGGGACTTGTCATTTGATGATCAAACAAGCAGCAGTTGAGGAGCTGACATAAGATTAATTGATGTATTCATTGTTTTAAACTGATATGACACTAGGTGTAGTCATCAATTTATTGATTGAGTGATTAGTTCATAATATTTCCGCTATTGTGTTTATTCAGGCACAGCAATGGATGCCTTAAACAGTATGCAGAATTTCCTCAGGAGTCGACCAAAGACCTTTAAGTCTGTGGAGAATGCCATTGAGTGGAGGTGAGATGCTGTCCATACATGCAGAAGTGTAAAAATACTCAGCAAATGCTTTACTAATAGAGCGTAATCCAAGTAATGTGTTCTCTGATCTTGTCCCTCCCCCATCAGTGTGAAGAGTGGACAGATCCGAAACGTTGAGTCAGCTCGTGTGTCCATGGGAGGCCAGGTGAAAAAGTATGTCTGGACCTGGGAAAAACGGGCTCAGAGGACAAAGACCTTTTTAAATGAATCAACTTCAAGATGTGACTTTTCAGGACCTGTAACTAAACACAAGTTTTGACCTCCTCCATAGATGTGAGGAACCCCTCAACAGTCCAGGCGTCTCCAAGAGCATCAGCGACGGCATTATTGAAGAGGAAGAGGAGGAAGAAGAGGAAGGAGAATCCAACCACAAAAGGAAGAAGGAGGATGACCAAGAGGTTAGGGATGGGATGATTGGGGGAAAATGTAATGTTTATTTTTTTAAATATATTTTATACCCATTTATTCGGGTGGGTTTGTATGTATGGATCTTATTAGGCATTAGTAGTTGGTGTATACATCTGGGTGCATATGTCATCTTGGGGGAGTGTGTATGTCATTTCCCACCTTTACACGGTCTGTTGTAGTGTGTACATGAAGAGTAAATGAAGGTTAACTGTCTCTTGGCTTTCTTAGGTGAAGAAGGAGACCATTTATACCTGGCAGATTGATCTGTCAAAGACAGAGAAGTACTGGGAGGGCTGGTTCAGTGGCCTGTCTGCCCTCTTCCTTTCCTGCCCTGTGCCAAAACTGCTCCTGCTCGCTGGTGAGTCCCTCGATTCAGTACATTTTAATCCACATGATTTTAAATGGGGTTTTCAATATACAGTTGAAGTCGGAAGTTTACATACACCTTAGCCAAATACATTTAAACTCAGTTTTTCACAATTCCTGACATTTAATCAGAATAAAAATTCCCTGTCTTAGGTCAGTTAGGATCACCATTTTATTTTAAGAATGTGAAATGTCAGAATAATAGTAGAGAGAATGATTTGCTTGATGATTGATGCTTTTATTTCTTTCATCACATTCCCAGTGGGTCAGAAGTTTACATACACTCAATTAGTATTTGGTAGCATTGCCTTTAAATTGTTTAAACTGGGTCAAACATTTTGGGTAGCCTTCCACAAGCTTCCCACAATAAGTTGGGTGAATGTTGGCCCATTCCTCCTGACAGAGCTGGTGTAACTGAGTCAGGTTTGTAGGCCTCCTTGCTCGCACACGCTTTTTCAGTTCTGCCCACACATTTTCTATAGGATTGAGGTCAGGGCTTTGTGATGGCCACTCCAATACCTTGACTTTGTTGTCCTTAAGCCATTTTGCCACAACTTTGGAAGTATGCTTGGGGTCATTGTCCATTTGGAAAACCCATTTGCGACCAAGCTTTAACTTCCTGACTGATGTCTTGAGATGTTGCTTCAATATATCCACATAATTTTCTTTCCTCATGATGCCATCTATTTTGTGAAGTGCACCAGTCCCTCCTGCAGCAAAGCACCCCCACAGCAAGATGCTGCCACCCCTGTGCTTCACGGTTGGGATGGTGTTCTTCGGCTTGCAAGCCTCCCCCTTTTTCCTCCAAACATAACGATGGTCATTATGGCCAAACAGTTCTATTTTTGTTTTTTCAGACCAGAGGACATTTCTCCAAAAAGTACGATCTTTGTCCCCATGTGCAGTTGCAAACCGTAGTCTGGCTTTTATAATGCGGTTTTGGAGCAGTGTCTTCCTTGCTGAGCGGCCTTTCAGGTTATGTCGATATAGGACTCGTTTTTACTGTAGATACTTTTGTACCTGTTTCCTCCAGCATCTTCACAAGGTCCTTTGCTGTTGTTCTGGGATTGATTTGCACTTTTCGCACCAAAGTACGTTCATCTCTAGAAGACAGAACGCGTCTCCTTCCTGAGCAGTATGACGGCTGCGTGGTCCCATGGTGTTTATACTTGCGTACTATTGTTTGTACAGATGAACGTGGTACCTTCAGGCGTTTGGAAATTGCTCCCAAGGATGAACCAGACTTGTGGAGGTCTACAATTTTTTTTCTGAGGTCTTGGCTGATTTATTTTGATTTTCCCATGATGTCAAGCAGAGGCACTGAGTTTGAAAGTAGGCCTTGAAATACATCCACAGGTACACCTCCAATTGACTCAAATGATGTCAATTAGCCTATCAGAAGCTTCTAAAGCCATGACATCATTTTCTGGAATTTTCCAAGCTGTTTAAAGGCACAGTCAACTTAGTGTATGTAAACTTCTGACCCACTGGAATTGTGATACAGTGAAATAATCGGTCTGTAAACAATTGTTGGAAAAATTACTTGTGTCATGCACAAAGTAGATGTCCTAACCGACTTGCCAAAACTATAGTTTGTTAACAAGACATTTGTGGAGTGGTTGAAAAACTAGTTTTAATGACTCCAACCTAAGTGTATGTAAACTTCCGACTTCAACTGTAATTCAAATACATTTGTCTTTGACATTGGACTACATCACACATTGTTGCGTGTAAATTTTTTCCCTTTACAGGTGTGGACAGGCTTGACAAAGATCTCACGATTGGACAGATGCAAGGTGAGGACCGCCTCAGATTAATGTTTGTTAGGTTGATTGTTGTTGACAATTGTGGTTCTGATGGTGACTGACAATCCACTGTACATCGTTCCCCACTCCCTGTGGTTTTACTGTAACATCTTCTAAATCAAATGTAAGTATGTTGCACATAAAGATTTGTGTTCCATTTGTGTTCAGGGAAGTTCCAGATGCAGGTGCTCCCTCAGTGTGGCCATGCTGTCCATGAGGACGCCCCTGAAAAAGTGAGTGGGTTTTTAAACATCTGGGTATGAGGCTGAACAACTGCTTGGTAAATGTGTCTTTGTTTCCCATTTTGTTGCGATAGTAAGTTCAGGCCAATATGCAAGTAATATTGCACACAAAATACTATTCTCAATGTCTGGGAACTAAACGGTCTGGGAACTAAACCGACATTGCTCTTGTTTCCCCAGGTAGCAGACGCTCTGGCCTCGTTCATGGTCCGTCACAAGTTCACTGAATTTAAGGAGGGTTTCCTGTGGTAAGACTAATTTAACATGAATAGAAACACATCATTGTTTATTACCTTTAAGTCTGCTTCTCCAGTAATCATTGTACAATCTCATTGTGAAGACCTGCATAAGCACGTATCGCTTGTCTGCACTGTTAATGTTAAAGCCACATGATTTGTGGCCTTGGTGGACTAGCGGTAAGTGCTGCCGCCTATAAGCACACATGCTTGCCGGTGTCAGCGATGGTTTGAATCCGGCTCACTGCCCTTGTGACTCACTTGCTGTCTATCTTTCCCACTGTCTCTTCTCAGCCCAATAAAATAGAAAACCCTCTAAAAAATATACACTGAGTGTACAAAACATTAGGAACACTGTCCTAAAATTGAGTTGCACCCCCTTTTGCCCTCAGAACAGCCTCAATTCGTCGGGGCATAGACTACAAGGTGTCGAAAGCGTTCCACAGGGATGCTGGCCCATGTTGATTCATTTTACATTTTTGTAATTTAGAGTGATTTACAGTTAGTGCATTCATCTTAAGATAGCAAGGTGGGACAACCACGTCACAGTAAGTACATTTTTCCTCAGTAAAGTAGCTATCAGCAAAGTCAGAACTAATAAGGGGAAGGAAAGAAAAGTAAAGTGTGAGTGTTAGTTCACGAAAGGCTTTCTTTTTTTCATTTATTTTTTGTGGGGGTCGGGGTGAGGAGGGGGTTTGAGCGGGTGCTGTGGGATTATTTAAAGATACTCTTTGAAGAGGAAGGGTTTCAGATGTTTTCGGAAGATGGGCAAGGGACTCTGCTGTCCTAGCTTCAGGGGGGTGCCAGGACAGAGAAGAGCTTTGGCGTGGACTGGGCTGGGCTGAGCGGGAGCTGCCCTCCCGTAGGGGTGGGAAGGACAAGAGACCAGAGGTGGCAGAACGGAGTGCTCGGGTTGAGGTGAAGGGTTTGAGCAAAGCCTATGGATGTTGTAGTGCATGAACCTGCAGGAGCGAGTCACTGCTTTGATGTTTGCAGAGAACGACAGGGTGTTGTCCAGGGTCACGCCAAGGTTCTTTGCACTCTGGGAGGGGGACACTGTGGAGATGTCAACCGTGATGGAGAGGTCTTTGAGCGGTCAGGCCTTCCCTGGGAGGAAGAGCAGCTCCGTCTTGTCGAGGTTGAGCTTGAGGTGGTGGGCCGACATCCAAGCTGAGATATCTGCCAGGCACGCAGAGATGCGTGTCGCAACCTGGGTGTCAGAAGGGGGGGGAGGAGAAAAGTAGTTCAGTGTCATCTGCAGAGCAATGATGGAGACCATGTGAGGATATGACAGCCGAGTGACTTGGTGTATAGAGAGAAGAGGAGAGGGCTTAGAACCGAGCCCTGGGGGACACCAGTCGTGAGAGTACGTAGTGCAGACACAGATCCTCTCTGCGTCACCTGGTAGGAGGGGCCTGCCATGTAGGATGCAGTCCAAGAGTGTGCAGAGCCTCAGCCGTGAGAGGGTGGAGGGTGGACTCCAATGCGTCCCACAGTTGTGTCAAGTCGGCTGGATGTCCTTTGGGTGGTGGACCATTCTTGATACACACGGGAAACTGTTCAGCGTGAAAAACCCAGCAACGTTGCAGTTATTGACGCACTCAAACCGGTGCGCCTGGCACCTACTACCATTCTCTGTTCAAAGGCACTTAAATATTTTGTCTTGCCCATTCACCCTCTAAATGGCACACATACACAATCCATGTCGCAACGCTTAAAAATCCTTCTTTAACCTGTCTCCTCCCCTTCATCTACACTGATTTGAAGTGGATTTAACAGGTGACATCAATAAGGGATCATAGCTTTCACCTGGATTCACCTGGTCAGTCTGTCATGGAAAATGGTTCCTAATGTTTTGTACACTCAGTGTATATGTATATATTTATTTTAATAAACATAAATTATGGACATCATACAATATAAGGTTTTGTAACGATTGCTACCACATATTGGTAGTCACTGTATAAGGTCTGTTCTGACACAAGTAATGCTTTTTTATGTCAAAATGGGATGCTAATTGGTACAGGAAAACCAAAAAGCATTTGTTTATGCATTCATGTTTTTAAATGTTTTATTGTAACAGCTAATGGGATCCAAATAAACAATAAACTACATAGACAAGTCCCAGCTTTGCCCTGGACCCAACCAGCAGTCATGGAGGAGTTGCCTGGAGCCTCAAAGACACCATCTTCTGCCAATTACTCCCAACTGGGTTAAAATAGATGTAAAATTCTCAGCACTTAAATTTAAATAATATTTTGTAACAATTTATTATTACTACTACTATTATTTGTATTTTTTTTAAATCAGGGATTTGGTTTCACCCATCCCACTCAACCTTTTTTCTTTTAATTTCCTGTGATGCCTTGCCTGTTTCTTGTTAAATTTAGGCTAACTGCATATTGTTGTGCTATGTGTTTAACGTTGTTGGATTTTAAGAATGATGATTAAAAATGGATAAGGAACATTTCTCCAGATCTTTTCATTACTGTTCTGTTGTACGTCTGGTATATGCACTATTTATTTCCATGATAAATACAAAGACACCCATTATGGAGTATTTTGCAAGTTAATCGGCTCGAAGGAACATGAAAAAGAGTGGCACATTTTCTTCTATTGTACCATCACAGCAGGCTTGACCTTTCTAGTCCTGCAAGTTAAGTAGTGTAGGAACGGGTTGTACGGCGCCATCCCTCAGCCCATATATGAGGGGTCTCAAACATCTTGGTAGGATGATGAGGAAGTTGACGTACTGCAGGTCAATAAAGAGAGCAGTACTGCCTACACTGGCCAGTGTACTTTCTATGGGTGCATACAGTACAGGAAAGAGAGAGAGGCCCAGCTAAACCATGTGCAGTAGCACTGTCTTGTGGGCCTTACTGGCTTTAGTTTTGTCAAAAGAGGCTGGCTGCTACAATGACGGCGATGTATGTGTAAATGATGATGAGAGACAGAGCTTCAAAGCTAAAAGTATTGAACCCCTGAAACACTTTCATCTGCCGTGTGCAAAATATTGCGGTAACAAAAAAAAGGGTTAAAGGGTTCAGGTTAGGGGAAGGGTTAGCTAACATCCTAAGATGGCATAGCAGTGCGGTCGTGTTTTCTGTAGTGTCCTCATGTAAATAGCCAGTTTTTTTTTTTTGTGTCTTTTTCGATTATATTTCTCACTTTCCATCCTTTAACTAAATATACTTTCCTGCAACCCGCCTCACCCAATGTGGAACGGTTTCTATTATTTCTTCAGACATTTTTATCCAGAACCTCTGGCTGAAACTAGCCAGCTAACTAGCTACTTGCTATTAGCCACCGTTAGCGCTCTTCACCATTGTCCGTGGCCGTGGCCTGCACTACCTAACAGCCAGCTCTAGCCTGGACAATTATCGGCAAGTCTGGACAGTCTGCACATCGCGCTATCGAGCCAGAGCATATCGGATTGTCTGCCGGAATCACTGAATCACTGGACCTTAACACCGGATCATCGCAACTAGCTAGCTGCAACCGAATGGTTGTTGTCGTTGTTGGCTAATCACCACTAATCACCACTGTCCTGAAGCTAACCCCAGTTAGCCTCGAGCCAGGCCCATCTCCCGGCTATCTACCTCTCTGTCAACCGGACGGGACCTCCTAGTGTTGACACGGAGCCCCGACGATCCATCACGACTGGTCTGCCGACGTAATCGTCTGATGTGGTTTCAACAGGCTTCCCGTTGCGACGACCACGAAGATCCATCTGCTAGCCCCGGCCCGCTAGCACACGCAATCATCAGCCGTGCCTCCAGCTCGCCTGTAGCGTAGCAGCCACTGAACTGCTCCCGGACGTACTTATTGCTGTTCACTGGACCTTATGATCACTCAGCTACACAGCTGATGCCTGCTGGACTGTTCCTTTATACGGTACCCCATCCTGTTGATCTGTTTAGCCTCAGCTTAAACTTTCGTCGCCATTACCAGCTCTCTCGAATAACACCTGTGACTGCTTTATGCCTATCTCCCATGTCAATATGCCTTGCCTATTGCTGTTTCGGTTAGTTCTAACTGTACTTTTTCAATGTAGAGCCCCCAGTCTTGCTCAACCTGTCTCAGATAGATCCTTTGTCCCACCCCCCACACACGCGGAGACCGGCTCAATCGGTGCCTCCAGTGATGCTATCTCTTTCATCTTTACCCAATGCTTAGGTTTACCTCCACTGTACTCATATCCTTCCATATCCTTGTCTGTACATAATGCCCTGAATCTATTCTACAACGCCCGGAAATCGGCCCCTTTTTTTCTCTGTACCCAACGCACTAGAAGACCAGTTCTTAAAGCCTTTAGCCGTATCCTTATTCTACTCCTCCTCTGTTCCTCTGGTGATGTAGAGGTTAGCCCAGGCCCTGTAGCCCCCAGTATCACTCCTTCTCCCCAGGCGCTATCATTTGTTGACTTCTGTAATCGCAAAAGCTTTGGTTTCTTGCATGTTAACATCAGAAGCCTCCTCCCTAAGTTTGAGTTATTCACTGCGTTAGCACACTCAGCCAACCCTGATGTTCTAGCAGTGTCTGAATCCTGGCTTAGAAAGGCCACCAAAGATACTGACATTTCCATTCCCAACTACAACATTTTCCGTCTAGATAGAACTGCCAAAGGGAGCGGAGTTGCAATCTACTGTAGAGATAGCCTGCAGAGCTCTATCATACTATCCAGCAATTTTTTTGTCCATTTAAAATAACATCAAATTGATCAGAAATACAGTGTAGACATTGTTAATGTTGTAAATGGCTATTGTAGCTGGAAACGGCAGATTTTTTATGGAATATCTACATAGGCGTACAGAGGCCCGTTATCAGCAACCATCAATCCTGTGTTCCAATGGCACATTGTGGTTGCTAATCCAAGTTTATCATTTTAAAAGGCTAATTGATCATTAGAAAACCATTTTGCAATTATGTTAGCACAGCTGAAAACTGTTGTGCTGATTAAAGAAGCAATAAAACTGGCCTTCTTGAGACTAGTTGAGTATCTGGAGCATCAGCAAT